TTTGATAGTGAATTCTACTATTACTTACTCAGTTTAGTACACCAAATTAACAGAAAATTCTTTGATGGTTGCCTTTGGTTTTCCCCCAATGAATACTAAAAGGACCTATGTTATACATGTTTGTGATTAAGCAATCAAAACTGTCTAGACAACCCTAAATAAGATTCACAAGAAGAAAAAGCCTCCACTGGGACTCTCTCTTTTTATCCAATTGCTTTATACTATTTTATTAGTGTTAAAAAGACTGGATGGCTCATGGAACTGTTAAGATACTGAGAGTCTTTCACCTCTAGTTCCACAAGTTCAAATCTAACCCAAGCCAGCCCCCATCCACAGGCATCTGAAATGAATGTATATGTTGTTGTAGCCATGTTGGTCCCAGGATATCAGAGACAGACGGTGGGTGAAGTAATACCTTCACTGGACTGTTCAGAAGTTGGTCCAATAAAACACATTACCTCGTGCACCTTGTCTCTTATTAGGCAAGACATCCAAGTAATCAAAACACAACTGAATCTGGTTCATATTTATAAACTGGCCAAGGATAAAGTAGACTTATCAAATAAATTACTTTTCCACATTCTAGTTGGTGTCTGCATTATATTTGACTATGTTCTACATGGCTCCCCCTCTCCACAAATACACATACCAGTTGCAAAGCATGATATACTTGTTCTACAACAGTTGTTGAACTGCTGACCACGACCAAATCTCAGGACTTTAGATGTATGCTAAAAAAAAAAAAAAACACCTTTGTAGACTGTTGCGACGTTAACCTAGTTTACTTGTTGTCACTGATAAACAGTAGGAACAGCAATATTTCTGCATATACCCGTACGTGAGATTGACTATTATTTTGAAGCCTTATGCAATTCTCTTTTGTTGTACTGACATGAATTTACCTCATCACCTAGCTAAGGTATGTGGTGTAACATGTAAGCAACCACCCATACCGATTACTATAATCTCCACCGATCTGAGTGAGAAAAAGTCATATTTTTTTGCACTTGAATACCTTAGTAATGGATGCAACAGAAAAAAAACAAAATAGATTTTGGTGGGGGCAGCTTTTGTAACATCTTAAAATGGCCAGTTTTGACCTGTCCATTGTGCAGATCTCAACTGTTATTAGCAGATGCTCATTTTACACCCAAGTTTACTGATGTACCAAACACCTGCTTTCCCTATTTCTCACTATCTTTCCATCAGAAATGCTAGATCTTGCAACTTGCAAATTTTATACACACAAGAATTCATTTATTTAATCATCTTTCTCTCCAGTTTGGGCTGTTCCTCATTTTCTGGGTCTTCAAAGTATATTTGGTAGTTCCACAGGTATGCAGCAGTATTTTCATCACCAGTATATGCACCAGATTCTCCCATTCCCCAAATCACACAGTGTTGCTATATACATCTGCTTACTGCTTGTAAGTAGTCACTTCACTGAAATTCACAGGAAACCTGCATTTTGGAGGGGTCAGAGGAATACTCAGAAAAACATTCTTTTTCTTTGCTATCAACCTACTTTCTCCAGGATTACAAGAGGAATTAATTGCTTGGATTATTTTTGAAGAGCAGCTCAGGAATACAAAGTCTGTTTAAGGGGTAACAGAACAGTATGACAGTAAACATACAGTTACAGGGAGATTACATTTTGGGGCCTCAAACTTGAAAGTGGCCCATTTTAACAAGTTAAGAGTATCATCTCAAATTATTTCCAAAACCACGGCAGAGATGCCATTAGGCTTGCTAACTAACTGAGTTATGTAAAACAGCTCCTTCTGCATTTGCACACTTGCTACTCAAGACATTACTGGCTACTATGAACAAAAGCCAAAGGGCCTGATCCTGAAACATACTGAGCAGCCACAACTTCCACCAAAATGAAAGTGTTGAGGATAATCCATGTCTATCAAGATAAGTACAGCCCTGCGCAAATACAAGATTTATATCCACATCCAATCCGCAAACATTGTCCATGGATATCCGCAAATTTGTGAGATTCTAAAGATGCAAAACAAAGGTACTAGTTAACTACAATTTGCTTTTCTGATATGCACTCAGGGTCTTTCTTTTGTACTTCATTTTTTAAAAAAGCATCATTTACCCCACTCCAGCCAAGATAAATCCTTGTCTTCTTTCTTCCTGTATTTCTCCCCCACTAGTTCATCACCTGCTTAAGTCAACTTTTTACATAAACATATTGCCACCTTTGGGAAAAGAAAAGTTACTTGAGAAGAGTAACTTTCATGGTTGACCTTTAAACTTGTGCTGCAGTTTCTCCTACTAGTGTTCTATTTCTCACAGTAGAAGATAGTCAGTGATTGAATGACTGCTTATAATATTAAAACTAAAGAAACAATATCTGACAAAACATTCATTGGGGAAACAAACACCACAAAAACAAAACACCCCAGCCCATGTCTGAGATTATGATTAAATCTTTAGGTCTGAAAGGGACTTCCTTCACTGCTTGTAGACACTGTTCTTTAATTGGCTGAAAGAGTTGCTATTGAGCAAGTCAGACCATAAGAACGGCCATACTGGGTCAGACCAAAGGTCCATCTAGCCCGGTATTCAGTCTTCTGATAGTGGCCAATGCCAGGTGCCCCAGAGGTAATGAACAGAACAGGTAATCAACAAGTGATCCATTCCCTGTCATAAACAGAAGCTAGGGACACCATCCCTGCCCATCCTGACCATCCATCCATCACTGAGTTGGACCAGTAGCCGCTTCTGGTTCAGGGAGTGAGATCTGGCATTAAACCCACATGACAGTGTAAAGCATTAGGCCTTATGATTTAATTTAGGGCATTTGATTCCTGGAAGTTTGGTTCAAAAACTAAACAGACACTATCTACTTTAAAAAAAATAAAGCATTAAGAAGTACCCCAGTCATGCTACAGTTCCCTCATATTACTATTGAGTATGTAACAATTTATGCAAGTGGTGGCACTAAAAATACTGGAAAAGACTTTAGAGATCAGGATAATCTATTCAGTTGAACTACATAATATTTAGAACTTGCATAGTACTTTATATTTTCAAAGTGTAAGTCAAACTTCAATCTTTTGTTAAAAGCCCATTTGTTAATACTTGTTCCTATATAGTTTAGTTAGTTAGTTGGTGTGGGTGGGAGTTGTCAAAAATATTTATATTTGTTAATAAATATTCCATGTTGAGAAGACTTTCCACCTATTCCCCAAAACATTTGCTGAACAAAATTTCTCTGGGAATTTGGACAGCTCTATACAGAAGAGGTGGTCATAAATCTTTAAAAAAATAAACCACACATAAAAAGTCCTGTCTGTTGCATAGACAAAGATCACATGGCATTTTTCATAAGATTAAGGATTTGTCCTTGTGTTATTGACTCAAGATTTCCCCCGTGGGCCAGTTGGTTATTGCCCCCCCACCCCATCAGAAAGGTGGCTGCCCAACACTTTAGCTGTATGCATTCAATTTTAAATTCTTTTTAGAGAAAAAAGCTTTTAAATTATTATTGAAGATGCAGATAAATATTTTAGACAAAAATGATTTTTAAAATGATTTTTAAAAGTGTACCAAAGAATAATCACACATTTAGGAACATTCAGTTTTTATCCAGTCTATCATTTGGCACATACAGTACTCCCATAGGTTAACTGAACCGTCATTTTATTAGGGTGTTATCCTGATAGACTAGAACAGTTTCCCATAAATCTCCAGCTCAGATTCTCACCTATTTCCAAGTATAATCAGAAAAAATATGTTTCCCTCCCGCTTGTACCTCAGAGTACACCTCTGCTCTCGTTTTTCTATTTTAACTTTGTAATTCTTCTTTAATGGCAATGATAGTGTTCTGAAGACACAGTACAAGCCACAATACAAAGCTGCATTGTAAGATTTGTACCAAGTGTTTATCCAATAGCTCCCTCTCTTGTCCTTTCCTAAAGAGGTCCTATTCTCTTCATCCTTACATCTGTTTAAGACCAATATAAGCCCACTACCTTTAGTGGGGTTACACTGGGAGTCAGTGAGAGCAGAATCTAGTCCATAGTCTTTTATGGGCCTCCTTACTGTCACTATTCCGATATTAGCACCAACACAGATGTTCAGCAGTGTCTACCCGAGGCCCTCTACAAGCAATTTTCCACGGTTTTCAACACTGACAGTAGTCACAGTGGTGTAACGTAGACAAAGCTCCCATGTGGCTGCTGGTGCTTTTACCCCTATGTCACTCTAAGGCCACAGGGGTGGAACTAGGGGAGCCTGGGATGCAGCAGCACCCCTTAGGTTGAAGTGGATTCCATCAATAACAGGATTTAGAGTTTGGTTCAAAGGCTCTCAGCACCCCCACTATAAAAACTGTTCCAACACCCCTGTGTCAGGCAACAGAGGTGACAAAAAGCACAGGCAGCTGTAAGCACCTCGTCTACACTAGGCTCCCACTGGCACAACCCTTAATGCGGCTGACCTAACCTTAGCGCCAGTAGGGAAGAGCTGAGTGTAGAGAAGCCCTCCTGCAGGGCAGCTCCAGGAAAGTCTCTGGCCAGGAAAGGGCAGGGTACGGATGGGAGGCAGGACTCAGACGCTCTCTCCAGCGCTAGCCGCCTTGCGCCAGCAGGGGACGGTAACAGGGGGGATAGGAAGTGGGGGTGGGGAGAGAGGTTCCCCCAGCGGAGGCAGGCGATGGGCAGCCGCGGGGGCCGGACCCCTTACTCCCGGGGCCACGGGGATCTGCAGGGGAGAAGAGGACCGCGCACCAGGGCGGCAGGCTCAGGGGACGCAGGACCCTAGGAATCGGGGGGGAGGGGGCGCCGGCGGCCAGGAGGCGGGTAACGACCCCCATCCTCGAAGCGGGCTCAGCGCGACTCCAGGGCACCGAGACAGCCGGCTCTCCGGGCAGGACCGCGCCCGCCCCGGAGCTAGCAGCGGGCACTGGCCCACGCACTCACACAGGGGGGTGGGGCTCCGGCTGCCCCAGGGCTGGGCCGGGGCTTCCCGAGCGGGACGCTCACCTACTCTCCTCGCTGCGAGTGCCCGGTGTGCGCAGCCCAGGCTCCGCCGCGGCTCCGGTCCCTTTAAATCCCCTCAGCAACTGAGCAGCGCGGCTGCCGCCCTCGCGATTTATCCCCGCCTGAGGGGAGCGGGCGGCGCGAGCAGAGCCCCGCCCCGATCCTGCCCTCTCGACGAGACCCCGCTCCCGCCCCAGCCAAAACGCTTCCGCCTACCCAAGCCCCGCCCCTTCTGAGGGAAACCACGCCCCCAGCCTCCACGGGTCCACACCTGGCCTTCACCTTACCCTCGCCCCTCTGAGCCAGGTTCGTCCTCTCCGAGACAGATCCTGACTCCTGTTCTCATCCCAAGCAGCTCTTTTGAGACCCCCCCCACCCTTCCCATAAACCTATTCCACTCACTCCCCTACTCTCCATTGCCACCCAGAAACAGCCTGCCCCCTTGTGCCTTACCCCAAACTCCCCCCTCTCGCAGTGCCATGTTAAAATAATCCATACCTCTCCCCCCCAGCCCCCGCCTCCCGACCCCCACCATTGCCTTCAACCCTTGTGTGAGGTAGCTGGAGCACAGACCACCACTGCTGGTCTGGGGAGGCTGGGACATCACCCCTCACCTGACCACTGCTCCTGGGCTGCAGTCTGTCCTGGAGGAAGGACTTGGTATCCATACACCCAATGTGAAGGTCCCTGCTCACATCTCCTGCATAGAAACATGATGTGGAGTCAGCAGCAAGCCTTCCCCACACCCTCACAAGAGCAGCAGGTTTCAGAATATAAAACCCTATATCCTTGCCCACCCCTTCTCCAAACTCTACCCCTTCCCCCCTGTAGTTCTACAGCAGAGCAAGAAAGAGCAGAGGGATTGAAGCACATGGGCAATATGGAAGCTATGCAATCTAAATCTCAAAAAATTCCTGACACTACAGTTGCTAGGAAAAGTTTGAAAATAAACTCTAATAAAATGAAGAAACTTTAGGAAGTAAAATATTCAATAGTGCCTCCACTCTGTTCTCCTTCCCTACCCATGATAGTGCTATACTCCACCCTTACCAGACAAAGGAAGCAACCACCCACCTTTTCCAAACTCCTCCCCATTCCCTCCCTGCCCCACATTCTTCACCTTCTTGCATGTGTGAGAGGTTGCCCACCTTTACCTCAGACTCACCACTCCACCTGCCTAGGAGAACCCCAATCCAAAATACTCTCCCCTTTTGCCTGGGTAAGAAACCCTTCCCAGAGACTTCTTCCCCTCATGCCTGTGTGTGCAATCACTCCACTCCTGTCCTAAATTCCCCCATCTCTAGCCTCAGAGAATCCTCCTTGCTTGTCCCTAACTGTTCCCTTCTTGCCTTATTAACTTCCTTACTTTATTTGCAGGTGAGATTATCATTTCCCCTCCCAAACCTGTTAGTCCAGCAGTGAATAAAGCATGCAGAGTTGCTGTAGTTATGTCAGTCCCAGGTCATTAGAGAGACAAAGGGGGTGAGGTAATATTTTTTATTGGACCAACTTCAGTTGGTGAGAGAGACAAGCTTTCGAGTTTGCACAGAGTTCGTAAATAGACTTGAAGAAGAGCTCTGTGTAAGCTCCAATGCTTGTCTCTCTCACCAACAGAAGCTGGTCCAATAAAAGATATTACCTCAGCCACCTTGTCTCACACATACACTTTGTCACGCTAAGACACTCACCCTGGGTGTGTGTGTTCAGTCTCATGTGTTCTATGTCACAGGTGCTACTGTTAGTGACGGGAGCTGGCTAATTTCCTGGTTTGAAGGGGCTTTGGCCCTTCCCTTACATTTTGATGCCATCTATGGCAGTGTGACAAGGAGGAAGTATTATACTGGGAAATGCACATTAATCTTAACATTGGCTGACAGCCCTGAGGATCCTGACAGCCCTGTTAATACCACGTGGGTCATTTGCAAACTAAACAAATAGGCATCCTATGAGCGTAGTGGAGTGTAGCAGTCATTGTTACACATTAGAGCTGTTTGAAAGTTACAATTTTTTTCATTTTACAGGCTCATCAAAGGAGATGCAGCCCAGCAAGAGAGAGGGACAAAGGTGCTTTAAACCATCTTTATGCTCTTGGATTTCTGTATTGCTCTGGGAGCCAATATACAACCCAGCATAAACTAGGACAGCCAGAGGATGCTTTAATTTATGGCAGCCTCCTCAGGGCTGCTTATGGATTGTTCCACAGTCTGGAGCAGCTCAGAATCTCTGTACCAGTCTGCACTGTGGAGAATCTCCTCTCCCATCTCTGAAATGCCCCCAGTTCCAGAACAACTCATCCAGAACAACTCATGAGAGGGGAGCCAGTGGTGAGGCAGTAAGGACTGGGATTTGGGGAAGACAATGTTCCATAATGTTTTGCTTTATTAGCAGTATCAACCAAAATTAGTATTTTTGCAAGTGTTCAATACAAATGCCACCATTGTTCAATACATGGCCCATTTTTGCTTATTTCCACTCAGAAATGCTCTTCCCCCCTCAAAAATGTGCACACTTTAGTGACATTTTCTACAAAAATGTGCACACTTTAGTGACATTTTCTACAAAAATGGACCCATTTAGAGGAAAATGCAAAAACCCTTGAATTTCAAGTAGTTTGACATTTGTCACGCACACTGATTCTCAAACTCTTTCTTCATGTGGACCAAATGTTAATATGGAGATAATCTCATGGATGCATTCTTCTCCTTCTGAGTGATCATGCAGACCCTTTCACCTTCCTTTCATGATTACAGAACATCCCTGTAAAAACTATGTGGAAAACTAATATTAGGAATGGATTTTTAGCAACACTTTAATGCAATTTAGCTTCTGGGAATAAGGAGGAGGGGGAGCCAGAACCAAGTGACTGGCCAGCTGTGTGGACCACTAGCAAGTACCCCTTACTCTCTAAAGACAAACCAAAACCCCAGCTTCAAATATCCTCAAACTTTGGCAAAGTTTGGATCTGAATCCAAATTTTTCACTCTAGGTCTGTTTCTAGTTTAAACACAGATGTTAACAAGACCAAGAGTGTTTCAACTAAATTAGCATGAAATGGTTTTCAGTTGTATTTAAAACCCAGTTTGGGTAGCACAGTTCCCAGCTCAGCGTAAGCAAAGCCTTGGACTTATGCTGCCAGAAAGCAGCCTTCTTCCTTCCACTTTCTGGTTGCCATGGTGCACTGTCAGTATAAGATGGTGTAGAAGAGGGCAGCCACCTCTAGCCCAGATAAGTAATCACTATTTTTCTAATACATTAATGGCCTTACATAATTGTACTTGTACCTATTATAAAGTAAATTATTAACACTCGTGCAGGTATGTAAAGAAAACATCATGAATCACTCCTGTTAGTTATTTTGTATTAGCACTGATTGATTTTGTATGTAGGCTAAAATTAATGCACCAAATCCTGAGGTCTTTACTTAGGCAAAAACTCCAGTGACTTCAACAGAAGTTTTCCCTTAGTAAGGATGACAGGATTTTGCCCTGAATTTGTATATAGGTCTGAATTGAATTATTATTATTTGAATTCATTTGTATGAAGGTACTTATGTGCACCAGAATTTAATATAAACATATGTATATAAAAGAAAACTTCATACTCATATCTAATGTTACAAGGCTATACTTAGAACCAGATAGCTTTGTCAGATGAGACCTAGTCATTTTGAAGGGACAGGGTTAAAGTCACATACAGCCACTAATAAGGCTTCAGAAAATGTCAGTAATTTCTATTTCACTTATAGCAAAATATCTCTTGTCATGATGGAAAAATGTGACATGTTATCAGATTCAAAAGGGAAAAAAATCAACGTAATATGGGAAAATTGATTCAAATACAAGTAAGTCTAAAACTGACAAGATTGTCTGTCAGACTACACCCTGTGTCTATCCACTACCTAATTTTGGAGAATGCCTATTTTTTGGTATCTATGAATGCTGCCATCTGCTGAGGTTAAAAGGTTTAGATTAGTGTTGCTAAACCTTTTCAGATGGCAATTCTTTATTCAAAATCAAAAATGTTTCAACCCCCTTGCATTTGCTATAAAAGAAAAAAAGTATCAATGATTACAATGAAAAGCCTATATAATTTATTTATATGCATTTTGAGACCTTGGTAGAAAATACTTGAATTTGAAGAGTGTGTGTGCAGGAAGTGAGGGAGTGAGATTTTCTGTCCTTTAGACTGTAATAAAATTTTCAGTACCTCGCAACCCCCTAATTGCCTGTAACCCCCCAGAGACATGAACCACTGGTTGAGAAATAACATACTCCAGACTACTGACAAAATATAATATATAGCACACAGCAGCTATTTACAAAACATAAATAAAACCCAACAACAAGTAATCCGATCTAAGACCAAATCCATCATTCATGGGGTATGTTAACTTGAATGGAGTTTCTCTGATTTACACTGGTGTACGAGACCAAGATTGGACCCCAAACCATTTGGCTGAGTTTTGGATGAGGATAAGATTAAAAAGTTTTCCACTCTGTCCCTTAATCTGTAAGCACAGTGTTAGCTGCTATGCTTTTGCTCATTGACAGGAATCAGATAACATCACTTATCAGCTAAGTTCTTATTTATCTGAAGAAATCTAACTATTAGTATTAGTGACGTGGGTTATAATAGGCCTGTAAATGAAAACAACAATGTGGGACACTTGAACGCAGCAATAAGAATTATGTTAACAGAGATAAGAATTTTTGCTTTTTTAGAGTTCATACTCAATACAAAGCTGGAGCGAGCAATATCACCTAGGTTTTTTGAAGGCTAATTGGCTCATCTGTGTTTGGCATAGTCAAGGATCAGCGAGATCCATTACTAAACAATGGTTTCCTGAAATAGGTTGAAATCCATTAAGGGGTTATTAGCAGAATATGTGTGTATAATTGTGGTGAGAGTACATTTAAAAGAAGCTTAGTCCCTTTTCAGAAGATTTTTATGGCTCAATCAGATATAGGTGCTGCTTCAAACCTAGAAGTGATAGAGTCCATCTTGTGTGAGAGCCTCAGGATGGAATTAGAATGGGTTGCCTGCTTGTACCTCAGAATCTGCGGCTGAGTAGAGTTTCTCTCTGGAGGCACAATGAAGTCATCAAACATATTATTTTGGGTGACTTCAGTGTCCACTGGAGATAACTG